TCAGCTTCGCCATGTCGGGGACGAACCGACGCACGTAGTTGACGAACCCCAGAAAACTCTGCAACTCGGTCAGGTTGGTCGGAGCGTGCCACGCCTGAATCGTCGCAATTTTCTTCGGGTCGATTTCCACTCCCGCAGCTGAAATAACATGTCCCAAAAACTCTAGGCGGTCCTGCAAAAACTCACACTTAGATGCTTTGGTCAGTAGGCGGTTCTTACTTAGGATTTTAAAAACTGCTTCGATTTCTTGTAAGTGCTGTGCTCTGTCAGGGCTGTAGATCAGTATGTCGTCCAGATAAACGATGACGCACTTATCTAAAAGTGGGCGGAATGCTTCGTTCATGGTCATTTGGAAAGTGGCGGGGGCGTTGGTCAATCCGAATGGCATGACGGTGTATTCGAAAGATCCGTAGCGTGTTCGGAATGCGGTTTTAGGGCAGTCGGGTGGATTAACGCGGATTTGGTGGTAGCCTCCTCGGAGGTCAATTTTCGAGAAAACCCGGGCTGTGCGCAGTTGGTCGATCAGTTCGTCGGCTCGTGGGATGGGGTAACGGGATTTGATGGTAACCCTGTTCAGTGCCCTGTAGTCGATACACATGCGAAACCCCCCGTCCTTTTTCGGTGTGAACAGTATGGGTGCGGCGAAGGGCGACGAACTAGGGCGAATGAATTCCTTTTCTAGCAGGTAATCGAGCTGCTTCCTCAGTTCGTCTAGTTCGGGTTGGGTCAGTCGGAACTGTCGTTGTACTGTTGGCTGTGCCCCCGGTTCCAGTTCTATCCTGTGATCGTGCGGTCGCTGAGGTGGCAGTCCCGTCGGCAGGTCGTCCGGGAAAATGTCACTGTACTGTTTTAACAGTGCCGCCAGGTCACTCGGTACGTCGGTCAGCAGTTTCTGTAAATCGCCCCCCTTGTCTGCTGCCTCGGCTTCCCGAATGTCAACCGCGTACACGTCGGCTCCGGCCACAACAGCGCGTTTCATCGTGATCGCGTTGACACGCACCGACGAAGACTCAGGCGAGCCCCAGCGAGGTAAGGCGATGTTGTTACCGTTCACTCGCACGGTGCAGTCACCCGTCGTCCAGTCAATTCGCGGATTGTGTCGTCGCAGCCAATCAGGCCCGAGTAAAATGTCGGTTCCGTCGAGGGTCGTTGCGAGCATTTCCTGACTAAACGTGAAGTTACCCCCGCATCGAATCCGAACTCGGTCTACGCGTTCCCGTATTGCCAGCGGCGTGCCGTCTACCAGTCGTGCGTCTATCTCAGGTAAGCATCGGTCCAGTGGCAGTCGCAGTTTTCGTGCTGTAGCAGTGTTAATGAGGCTGTGGCTGGCTCCCCCGTCTACGAAGATTTTAACTAAGTCCGTCCCAATTTTCCCACTGAGCAGTATAGGGCTATCTACCGTGGTACCCTCCTTATTCGGCCGGGTGTGGTCGATTGCGTGAACCGGCACAATCACTCGGTGAGGGTCGGTTGGGTCGGGCGAGCGGCGTGACCTGTCAGTAGAGGGTCCGTCTGCTACTGACTTCCAGCGTTTCCCTGCTGCTTGGTCTGTGTCTGCTGCTCAGCTTCCCCCTTTCCCTTAGCGTTTTCCGGGCATTCGCTCTTGCGATGTCCCGGCCGATTGCACGCAAAGCAGCGCCCTTTGAACGGTGCGGCAGCGGCATTTGCGGCGACGGCGCGTATTGTGGCGCTCTCGTTCGTCCCACGAGGCCGATGTCCCCAGGTGTTGTTTCCGTAGGACCCCGGTCTCGGTCGGCGAAAGAAGTCGAGCTTCTCCGCCATAGCTAGAATTTCCTGAAACTCAGTGACGCCGCGAAGCTGGATTTCCTGAGCGATGTCCTGCTTCAGGCCGCCGATGTAGCGGTCGATGCGTTCGCTCTCATGCATGTAGCCCACCTGCTCGCATAGCGCCAAAAATCCGCTCGTGTAATCCTGGACGGAACCGAGTTGGCGCCAAGTGCGGAGCTTCTGTCGCGCCGAGATCGAGGCCGCGATTGGCTCAAATCGAGCGCGCAGACCTGCGCACCACGCGTCCCACGTGCGATACTGGGGCACCTCCACGAAATACGACGGCGCCCAGGGTCCGGTTTGTCCTTCCCGTGTCGGTAGTGTCGCGTAGTCGATCGGCTTCGTGACGATGACGCGCCACCAGTCCATGGCGGGTCCTCGCAGCAACGACACGGCGTATCGAATCTTCGCCGAGTCCTCCGAGACGTAGTTGGCGTCGAAGAAGACATTCATTGTGAACAACCACGCCTGAACGGTAGGACCACCCCGTTGACTCGGGTCAAAGCATGGCGGGCGCTGCGGCTTCAGCGGCATCGGTGACGGCAGTCCCGAATCGTGGGTTGGTGCCGAAATCGTGACGCGAGGCTGACTTGGGGCCGCATGCGTCGCTCTGGGGTGTGTCGTGCCGTGGTCGTCGTCTCCGTCGGGGCGGACGACGCCATCACTGGCCGCGCTCGCGGGTTGCCCCACACTCCCGTGTTGTGATGTTGAGGGTGCAGGTTGAATCGGAGTGCCAGGTGCTTGAGATTGTGCTTGTTGTGCCCTCATGAGGTCATTTTGCAGCGATGAGCGTTCTGCCGTTAATGCCGCGATTTCCTCGGAGCTTTCGTGCAGCTGTCGCAGCAGATCGTTCAAGCGCTCCTGCGTGAGGGTGGTGACGTCGATATTTTCAGCCATGACGAAGGGCGGCGGCTCGTCTTAGTCTAGGCGCAGTCGTGGCTGCGTTTACGAGAGAACGCGAGGACAGCGGCTCCTAGGGGCTAAGGTGCGTGAGTCCCTTCGAGTGAAAAATCAAAAGTTGATTTCCTGGTGTGCGGAGATGCGCGGTCCGAAAGAAAGGGGCTCTGATACCAAGTGTTACGGGTGCAATGAATCGAAGTAGAGAGGATTGCACTAAGGTGTCAAACGAGTACAAAATGTGAGCGAAGGCATGAGCGAACATTTATACGCGAAACATGCAAAACGGTAACGCGGTGCGTGCGAGCTTGCTAGTGCTACGCTGGAGCGAGGCTCGGGCTAGTCCCGAAGCGTAGGCCGATACGGCCATGCCAGCAGTGCGAGGTTTGGCAAAACAGTGCGCGCGAAGTCGGCGAAGTTCCGTTAGCAGTAACGGGCGAACAATCGGCTGTTGCTGTACGCGATGTAGTCGGCCCCGTAAGGAATGCCGAGAAAATTCCTTACAGAGCAGCAGAGAGTTGCTTATCTGCGCCATCGAGTATCTTGTTCCAGATTTTATGAAGCATCCTAGGCCGGCAAGCTGGTCGTATAAATAGCTTCTTTTATCTCAAACCTCTGAAATATCCTTATTGGCCAGAGATTCCTGCACGGAATAGGATCTCTCTTGGCTCAAGGAATCTCACGTATCGCTGCAACTAGGTCCGCCGCCAGAGGAATGCGTTATACTACGAGTCAGACATAAAATGGTCGACATTCACTGGCGCAGTGCGCGCATGCGGCGAGTCTTTTGTGAACGCATTGACAAGTCAAACCATTAGACTCTACACCTGCTTCCTCAAGATTCAAAATTGCATTGGCCATGGCAGTCGGCGGCAATAAAAGTGGTTCTGGGGGTACCACTCGACTCGACCGGCTTCTGATTCTCCTTGATAGTACGAACGGCATCATTCCATCCACCCCGATGATTCCAGTAGCTCACGAACTGTTCCCAATTCCGCGTCGGTTACACCATGTCTCTTCCCTGCTTTCTTCGCATGCTGTACTTTAGCGAAAGTGTACATCTTCTCCGTTTTTCGCCTCCCGCTCCGGCCGGTTTACCCATTTGTTGGTCTTCTCCTCTTCGCTTTTGGCGATAACGCTTAACTGTGCTCACCAGTTTCTCTTTCATTTTCCGTGTCGAAATTCTTCTTTCAGCTGGAGAAGCGGCCACGACGCGCGACACAGCCGCGCGTCAGATCGGAGAGTTAGCTAGCCTCCACAGAGCGGATTTGCATGCTCTCATTCGGCGTGTACGATCCCCAGTCGTCTTCGGATGCACGTGCTTTTGGTTTCCCTGCATTCCATTCCTACTTAACCTATGCGAGCTTTATCCCTGCAGCTTGCTGTATCACCCCCACCGCTCACCTTCAAACTTGCTAGTTGTTTTCTTGTTCAAGTTCTTTGGTTCTCTAGAACCATCCATTGCTTGTTCACAAGCGACTTCTATCCCCTCTTCTGAACCCCTCCGTACAGGTGAAGAGGTTGCTGAAGAGCAGCAAATGGGATACGCGTGTGGCTGCAGCCAAGGCGTTAGGGTACATAGCTCGGAACACACCGCATCCCACAGTGCAGGACCTGCAGATTGCTGCTTCCACTGTATCTGGTGATGAAGGAACATTAGCAGCACGGAATGGCACTGCTTCTGCAGCCCCTGATGGCGAAGGTGCTGCACCAGCTGCTGCAGGAACTACTGCTGCTGGTGGCGGCTTGCGCTTTGAGGGGTAAGACGCCTGACATTCTGATGGACGGAGTTTTAGGTGTTTGATGTCACGAACTCATATGCTGCTGAGTTTGTGTCGAAGTGTGAAACCTGAATGGTCCAAGCACAAGCACCTATGTCTGCATCCGTATGCTGTTTTCTTATTGTTTTCCTCTATGACGTCCCTCCATGTGCAGCTTTGACATTGGTCGTGTGTTGGATAATGGAGCACCGCTTGTGGCATCAGCTGGCAAGGTAACGCCTGCTTATAATATTGTCTGCTCAGAATGCATGGAGGTGCGTGATTCATGGTTGTGTTGCGTAAGTCTTGGTGATGCATCGCTGGTGGCGCAGCTTACAGCTTGGCAACCTTTTTGTTTATGTTGTCGATTTGGGTTTGCCATGACATGAGATGGTGGAAATCAAGCAACAAGGCATACCGTCCCTCTGGTCCATTCTCAACATTTTGCTCCATCCATGCTGAACCTCTCACACACAACACCACATTACGCCCCACGCCTACCTCTGCAACGTGCCCAATGTCACAACATAGCTAAATTTACGTCTTTCCGATCCTATGGTGGCCCAGGAATATGATATTGCAGCAGTTGGGCGAGGGGGGAAGGAGGCGATTGCCAAGCAAAAGCAGTCCCTACGACGGAGACTAGGTGAGTAGAATGGGGTCATGGTGCAACGCATGCCTTTCCGTGCACCACTGAAGGCGTAAAGCTTCAGGTTTCTAGCTCCATGTGACGGACATTGCTCTTCTGGCTTCCTTCTTTTTTGAACGGCCCTTGCCATTGAATAGTGCTGACCTGACAGCACCGCAGAGTTTTAGGAATAAACTGGAGAGCTACAATTGGGACGAAAACGTTTTGGTGGTGAGGTGACGGCAGGCGGTGGGGAGGGTTGATGGTGACGATCTTGAGCCAGGCTGGCGTCAGGCTGGTTGGTATAGCCAGGTCAAATACAGGTCAGTTTTCCTGACGAGAGAGCGAATCCCAACCAGCTAGTCATTAGAAGCACCAACCAATACGAGGTCTTTCTCTCTTCCTTCTGCACACTTTCTGTTGTCACAGGTCTGGACGAGTGTGAGCGATTCATGGATGTAAGCGATATCATTAGAGACGAGGATCTGGAAGCACCAGCGCAAGCAGCAGCACCACCAGCAACAGGTTCATCAAACCCCGCTGCAGCAGCTGTTGGCAAGCAGAAGCAGAAGCAAGAAGCTACAGCTGGAATCAAGCGTGGTGCGCAGGATCTAATGGCTGAGATGCTGCCAAGTGGCACCAGTCCGGGGGTCGGTGATGGTGGCAGTTCTGCTGGTAGTGTATCACCCGCATTGTCGAATTCCCTTAGTGCAAGGGAGAGAAACATGCTGAAGCGGAAGGCAAAGAGCATGAGCAAGGACGGGGGGAAGAGAGGAGGGGCACATGGTGGGGTGGGGGAGGTGGATGAGGATGAGGATGGAGGGGAAGGGGAGCGGGGAGGCAGGAAAAAGATGCGGACAAAGAGTGTGGTTTCAGATGGGAAGGAGGACAATAAGGTGCGTTCGTTAATTATCTTTTGGTTGTTGAGCGCGACCATGCTTTTCACTTCACCCGGGTGTTTGAGTTGCAGCCTTGGGGGGATATGCACAGGATCTGTCGACCGTCGGTTGTACTGTCCCTCTTCCAGCTCTTCAAAGCGCCCTCCCTCACTATTTGTTTTACCCCTCCCTTCCACCGCTCCTGCCTGCCACCCGCCCATCAGATCACAGTAGAGCAGGTGGCAGCAGAGGGGGATGATTGGGAGGAAGAGGAGGAGGAAGAGGGAGAATGGCCCTTGCAGGCGCTGTGTGAACAACTGCTCACAGACATGTTTCACCCAGGTAATGATTGCTGTGTCATTCAGTCAAATGTCGCCCTTCCGTTTCAATGAATGCTCATGTTCCATCAGCGGTGGAAATCACGCGGTCCTGTTTCTTTGCACAACTACCTGGTGTTTTTGTCTGTTTTTTCTTCTTCCTTCCTTTACTTTGTTTGTCTGTGCAGTGTGGGAGGTACGTCACGGCAGTATTCTTGCCCTCAGGGAGGTTATGTCCGCGCATGGGAACTGTGCTGCAGTTTGCCGCCCAATAGTTCCTTCTAAGTGGGCCAGTGCCAATGGGAATGAGGAGATAGAAGATGGGAATGGGAAGATGGAGCTGGAGGTGGTGAAGGAGGAGGATGATGGCAAGACTGTACCAGAGATGAGGGAGCTGGATGTGGGGTTGGTCAAGGCGCCGATGGTGAGTTCGGAAAAGGAGGAAGAAGGGGTTAACAAGAAAATGGAGGTTGTGGATCATTGGGGTATCAGAAAAGAAGAACGTGTGGAGGCGGAAGGATTGGAGGATGTGAAGCAGGAAGTAAAAGAACGAGAGTTTGTGAGTAAGCCATTGGTAGCTGTGAAGAGGGAGATTGAGGTGGGGACTTCTTTAAAGGCAGAGGTGAAAGAGGAGGCGAAAGGTGAAGAGGAAGGTATGAAAACGAGAGCAGAGGAGGAATTGAAAGTAGAGGATGAGATGGGAGTAATCGAGGGGCGACTGGAGGGAGTCAAGAGGGAGGCGAAGGCAGAGTCGAAGGAAGGGAGTGGTGGCTGGCTAGGCCTCTCTATGGGCTCTGAGACGCCTAAAGAAAGCAATGGAGAGTCCGCGTCTGGGGGCAAGCTTGCTGCTACTGCTGGGGTGTGTGTGAAGGAGGAGGCAGGAGAAGGGGGCGGGAAGGGGGGGGAGGATAACCGAGCTGAACGATCCGGATTTGACTTGAACGAGTTGCTGGTCTGTAAAGTGGAGGACACTGAAGCGAGTGTGACGAATCAAGAGGGCGTCATTAACCAAAATTCTGGAGGGAGGGCGCGTATGGGCTTGGACTTACATCTCTCTGACGGCATGCAATCAGAAGAGATGGGAGAGGGGGTGGTACGAAATTTGGGGAATGAAAAGAGTATTGAGGGGATTAAGGTAGAAGCCAACACGGATGAGGCTGAAGAGAAGAGCAAGCGTGAGGGAAGTGAGAAAGCTGTGGGAAAGGGGTTGGACTTGAACATGGAAGTTTCCGAGGAAGCAAATGAGGGGAAACATGTGGATGGGGGGGAAGTGGCTGAGGAGAAGAATGGAGAAGAGAAGGAGAGTGCGCTGGTGGTGGCACAACGTGTGAGGGCGGCGGAGAAAGGTGCAACGGCGACGATGGAATCTGCAAGGAAGGCACAGTTAGCTATAGAAGCTGCCAGGAAGGCACAGGCGGATAATGAGCTGTTTTTGGAGGACTGTGCCATTCGGCTGCTGTGCATCTTCGCTTTGGACAGGTGAGTCATTCAAAACCTAGTTCGGCGCATGCTTACCTGCTCTTTTGGATATTATCCCTATACTGGTTGTTGTACTGTTTTCTCCTATTCATCTCCCCTGCCCGTTCTTTCTTACAAGAGGACTTTGTGCCACATCAGGTGGGGCGACGCCATGGGTGGCTCACGTCACCCCTTTTACCCTGGGTCCCCTCTGTGCCCTTAGGTTGGAAGACTTTGTGTCGGACCAGGTGGTGGCGCCAGTGCGGGAGGCGTGTGGACAGGCGCTTGGAGTGGTGCTCAAATACCTGCCCTCCAGGGCTGTTGCACGCACACTTGATGTGCTGCTGCAAATGCAGGTATGCATGGGAGAATGTAGTCCCACACACACACCGTATCAACACTGTCCATATTTCTGATGCTCACAGTATGCCTTCCTCCACTGCTGTCTGTCAGACATGCCACAGAGTGGGAGGTTCTGCATAGAGGCGTGCCAGACGTCAACTATCTCAAAGCTTTGGCCTCCTCTAGACCTGAATGCTGACTCGCTTGGAGTGGGGGTTCAGCACCGAGTGGCCACCTTCAGTTGCAAGGGTGATCCTTCCCGTTCCTCATTTAGGGAGCTTACTATGGAGCCCCTCCCATCCCCCATTTACAGAACCGATCAGAGTGGGAAGTGCGGCACGGTGCCCTGCTTGGCATCAAGTACCTTATAGCAGTGCGCCAGGAGCTACTGCCCTCCCTGCTGCCCTCGCTCCTCCCTGCCTGCATCCGCGCGCTGCAAGACTCAGATGATGATGTGAGAGCTGTGGCAGCAGAGGCGCTGCTGCCAGCTGCTAAGACTGTGGGGGAGGGCGTGGACGAAAGTGATTTGAGGCAGCTGATGCGGCTGCTGTGGGGGATTCTATCAGAACTTGACGACCTCAGTCCTTCCACTAGCAGGTGAGCAAATGGGTTGGTTGAAGCTTCCAGGTTTGCTTGAGGAGGCGAATGAGACCATGTCTGCCCGTTTATTTAGTTTGTTCATCTACCCGTTTATTTAGTTTTGGAAGCTGCTGATGCACACTTGTGCATATATTGAATTCATCTACCAGCATGCGAGCCTCTGAATGGGTTCGTTCATGTTGCTTGCCGTTGTCTTGGAATAGGTTCAAAAGCCCACATGCATGTGCCGTGGTTGTTGTATGCACTTGTTCCCCTCTCACAGTGTCATGACCCTCCTTGCTGAGCTGCATGCTCTTCCTCGAGTTGCTGCCCTCTGGACCGTTTCACCATCTGCTGGTGCTTCGGCTGATGTTAAGACTGCTGCAACTGCAGCTGCTGCTGCGGCTGCTGCTGGTATGCCTGTTGCTGCTTCTGCTGGTGGACAAGTGGATGGCGATGAGGAGTTGGGCGAAGATGATGACCTTGACGACAAGGAAGAGGAGGAGAATCTAGCTTTAGATGGGATTAAACCGAAGAGAAACAAAGATGCTGCTGCTGGCGCTGCTGCTGTTGGTGCTGGAAGGGACACTTTGCCGCCCTTAGTGGTTCTCGTCCGTCGATTATGGCCGTTGATGCGTCACACCATCTCTGCTGTCCGACTTGCTGCTGTTTCCACTCTCGTGAGTCAGCCTACATGTCAATTACATTCTTCCCCCTCGTTTCTTGTCTGTCAGTACGCTTTGCTTTCTCGTTTCCCCTCCTTGCATTTTTTTTTCTTCCCCCCCTCGTCCATTTGTATTCCATTGTTACCTCGTATCCCCCTCCTCCCTCCCCCGCACTCACTTTGTTGGGTCGAGACAGGAGAGGCTCCTTCAATCCACTGGCACCTTGTCATCAGATTCCAGCTCAACGTTACCCTGGGTGGCTGACGTGTTAGTGGACGCGCTGGCATGTATTCTCCGTAATCTGATTTTGGAGACCCACCCCACGGCTCTTGCTGTCTCCCGCCGTGTCTGGCCTCTGCTCTTGCAACAGGTACTGTGTTTTTGGCAAGTTCCCTCATACATCACCTCGGACTGTTGCTGCTGATATTGACTGTGTTCCTAGCTCACATATCATTTAACAACAGTCAACTCAGTTTTCCTTGTCCCGACCACATCGTTCCTCTTATCGCCTACCTCAGGTACCCCCCTCCAGGGTTGCATCTCTCACTCGCCCCGTGATTCACCACTGGTGCCAGCTCATCGCCACACCGCCTGGTGGCCCCCTTGACACCTCCCTCCTCTTTGCCACATCAGCACCTGCAGCTCAAGGGACAGCCAGCAGAGGCATGGGGACTGAGGGTAAGGGGAGGGGAAGGGGTAGAGGGGGAAGGGGAAAGGGCAAGGGGAAGGAGTTGGAAGGTGTAGCAGCAGGATCTAGTGCAGGGAGCTCTGCTGCTGCTGGCAGTGCACTAGGGAGCGGTGGTAGTGGGGTGGTGGTGGTAGGGGCTGAAGGCGAGAGTGCAGCTGTGCGTATGAGAGTAGACACAAGCCAAGCCATGGGCTTGCTGCTCTCCTTCTGGCCTGTTGTCCAGCTAGAAGGCGGAGTAGCCCCGTTGATATCCCTCCTGGGGTCCGTGGCTGCCACACAGAAGCAGGTTGGTGCTTTGATCATTGCTGCTTGGTTCAGGGAGCTTGAGAAACGGGAGCTAGGGAAAATGGAGGTGGAGCAAACGGACAGTCAGCAAACATTGCAAAAGCCAAATCAGCATCAGCAGCAGCAGCAGCAGCAGTATGCCCTTGGCTCTCTTCCTGGTCTCTCTTTGGTACGACCATCTCCTCCTGTTGAAAAATTGTTGAACCACTTGATGGCTCTCCTCTGTTCTCCTGATGCTGGCCAAAGCTACGAGGAGCTCTCTCGAACCTACAACAAGCTCCGGGCTGAAGCTAGTGCTTTGATCAGCCATGCCCGAGCTCTGGGGTTAGCACCAGACACGATTAGTTCGGCGCTTACACGAGCCGGCTGTGTTGGCTCGGCAGGGGCTCTGGATAGCAGTACAGCAGGAGAAACGAGAGGAAAGGGAGGAACAGGAGGAACAGTTTTGGAAGGACGAGGAGGGGAAGAGGCTCATTTTGATAGATTGAGTCCAGAGGGTGCGTTGGAACTGGCAGGGGCTTTGGCTGGGCTTGCTGGGTCAGGAACAGGCGAGGTGGAGAACAGGGATGCACCTGGTGGTGTGGCTGGTGGACTTGGGGGAGGGAGAGGGGAAGGAGTTGGAAGGGGAAGAGGAAGAGGAAGAGGCAGGGGAAGGGGAGGGAGTGAGGGAGGGAGAGGAGCTGAGAGGCAACAGGAGCCGTCGCAGCAGAAAGGCATGGGGGATTTGATGGAAAGCTGCAGGCGGAGATTGCTGTCCACTGCTACTTACCTTAAAACTGTACAGGTGTGTGCAATGCCATGAGTGCGTCTGTTCTCAAAATGCATGTGCATCTTGGGGGGAGGTGGGATGTATATTTCGAGGGTGGAGTGTGGTAAAAATGAAATGATTAGGCATATCTAGGGGTCCTTGTCTACCCTATTTTGCCTCAAACCAACCAATATGCACACAGCTCAGAGTAAAACACTACCCCTAAGCTCTCCACCCTCTCTTCTCCTACCCTTCCTCTTGCTCTCCCAACTTGCACTGCACACAGTGATGACAGCAGTACCACTAGTTTGATATTTAGTTTACTTGGTGCCGCCTCGCCCCTGCCCTCTCCCCTGTCACCATTTCACTTCTCTCTCTCTCTCTCCCAGGCCAACATGCACACATCCGTCACAGCAACAGTGGCGGCAGCAGCCGTGCGAGTCTCCTTAAGTCTGCCTTCCAAGCTCAACCCCATCATACAGCCACTCATGGCCGCACTCAAGCGAGAAAGGGTGAGTCTTGGCTTCAGGTGCCTATTTTGGATCTTGAATCATTCAATTTACGAATACATATGTGGTTGTTTAGATCGGATTCACGTCTTATCCTTTCCCACTCTCCCCCTCCCCCCTCGCCCCCCGTCTTCTATCAGGAGGTGCTTCTGCAGCAGTGTGTAGCGAGCGGCCTCGCATCCGTCATCCTGCGCTCCTTGGATCGCCGCCCTTCCCCCAACGACAGGCTTCTCAAGAATCTATCTACACTCGCCTGCTCCGACCCCTCTCAGTGCCCACCACCCTGTGATGCCAATAAGGAGGCGGATGACCCCCTGGATCCCACCCTCGCCATGCCTGCTGCGGCTGGAGCCGGGGGTGCGGCTTCAAAAGGAGCCGCTGGTGTGATTGTAAAAGGGGAAGGGGCAGCAGGGTCGTTGGAAGCCATGATTGGCCGCAGAGGAGCCGAGCTGTCCTTCAGAGCCTTGGCGGACAGCCTTGGCCCAGACCTTTTTACAAAGCTGCCGAAGCTGTGGGGTCTCCTTACTGAGGTCTGGAAGCCCGGAGAGTCAGAGGGAGGTGGTAGCACAGGGAAGTGCGATGAGGGAGAACTGTTCAAAGCAGATCCACTGGCACTAGTCAACACCTTTCAACTCATCCGGTGCCTATCCCTTGTCCTCCACACGTCCCTTATCCCCCAACTGCTCCTCCTCCTTCCACCAGTTCTCTGTTGCACTCGCCATCCCCATGCTGCTGTCCGATTCGCCTCAGCCCAGTGCCTGGCAGCACTTGTGTCTCTTTTGTCTGCAGAGCAAACTGTTCTCTCCGCCATTCTCACTCATGTCATTCCTCAGCTCACCAACACACTCTCTGAACCAGCCCGTCGCGGAGCAGCAAGTGTTGTTTCCTCGTTAGTCAACACCCAAGGCGAGATGCTAGCACCATACGCTGCACTCCTAGTCGTTCCCCTCTTAGCTCGGATGTCCGACCCTAGTCCGCAGGTGCGGCAGCTGGTGACACAGAGCTTTGCCAGGCTCGTGCCTCTACTGCCTCTCGCCCGAGGGCTGCCTTTACCAGCGTTTTTGGACAAGGAAGGTGCGAGGAAGGCCCGGGAGGATGCCCGGTTCCTGGAGCAGCTTCTGGATAATCGCAAGGCGGATGATTACCAGCTGCAAGTGAAGCTGTCGGTCACCCTGAGAAGGTGCGTGCAGAATTGAGCTGGACATATAATCAATCTGTGTAGAGTTGAACTCATGTTCACACCCTCTTCTACTCCTCTCATGCATTCTCACGTCTCATTCTCTTCACACCCCCCACACATACACACTCCCCTCTTTGCAATGAGCAGGTACCAGCAGGAGGGTGTCAACTGGTTGGCCTTTCTGCGCCGCTTCCACCTGCATGGGGTGCTGTGTGACGACATGGGGCTGGGCAAGACCCTCCAGGCCTCCTCCATGCTCGCCTCAGACACAATCGAGCGCCAAGCTGCTGCGCGTGCAGCTGCTACCGGGCCTACTTCTGCTGCTGATCGTGCTGCACCTGGTGCTTCTGGATTCGGAGTTGCGCCCACGCCTCTCCTCCCGTCTCTCATCGTTTGCCCACCCACTCTTGTCGCTCACTGGGTCTACGAGATCGAGAAGTACATTCCTCGTGGGATATTCTTCCCACTGCAGTATGCAGGCAGCGTTGCCGACCGGCAGAGGATGCGGGGGCAGCTGAGAAAGCACAACCTGGTGGTAACCTCGTATGAGGTGTTACGAAGCGACATTGATGAGCTGGCAGCCATCACATGGCGGTACTGTGTGCTGGACGAGGGGCATCTGATCAAGGGCGCTAAGACGCGGCTGTCGCAGGCGGTGAGGCGGATCAAGGCGGAGCATCGGCTGCTGCTGACGGGCACTCCCATTCAGAACAACGTCTTGGAGCTGTGGGCGCTCTTTGACTTCCTCATGCCAGGATTCCTAGGGACTGAGAAACAGGTATACCTGCTTGCCTTGTAGGCGGTGGAAAGTGATGAAGGCAGCTAAGGTTGTGTTACTGCTGAGATGGAAAATACACAACCAGCTTTATGGGCGATACTTTTACTGTTTTTCCCTGTGGCTTCTCTCCACCAATGTATCTTCCCTTTTCCTGTTGCTCTTCCCGCCCTCCCATCACACATGCACATCAGTTCCAGGCGCGGTATGGCAAGCCTCTACAGGCTGCACGAGACCCCAAGTGCACTGCCAAGCAAGCAGAGGCAGGCGCTCTGGCCATGGAGGCCCTTCATCGCCAGGTCAGCCCAGCCCTTGCACTTCTCACTCCGTTCTTGGAAAGAAGGGGTTTGAGGGATGGGAAAATATAAATGATAGAGAGTTGAAGAGCATGTGTTGCCATGTGGTTATAGTCATGCAGGGTCGCGTGTGACCAGCTACTCTTTGTTTGCCCATCGTGCCAAGTTCCTCCTCAACCCTCCGTTTCCTTTCTTCCACTCTGCCAGGTGATGCCATTCATTCTGCGCCGCACCAAGGAGCAAGTTCTCTCAGACCTGCCTCCCAAAATCATCACCGACCGATACTGCCAGCTGAGCACGCTGCAGCGACTACTGTACGCTGACTTCTCAAAGTCCCACGCGTCAGAGGAGGTGGTGACAGCAGTAACGGCGGCAGGTGGAGGAGCAGAGGGAGGAGGAGGGGAGCAAGCTTCAACCCATGTGTTCCAAGCGCTGCAGTATCTGAGGAAGCTGTGTAGCCATCCGTTACTGGTGCTGGACCCTTCCCATCCCCGCCACGCAGCTGCTCTCGCAGCAGTAGGGGCCTCGGGGGCAGCAGCAGAAGCCGGGCCGAGAGGAGGCAGCAGCAGTGGTGCTGGCAGCAGTGGAGGGGATGGTGTTGGGGACGTGCATGACATAGTGCACGCACCCAAGTTGGTTGCGCTGAGAGATATTCTGCTGGAGTGTGGGATAGGAGGAGGAGGGGAGGGTAAGAGTGGAGGGGATGTGGGAGGTGAGGCCAGCGAGGGCAATCACCGTGTGCTCGTGTTCGCCCAGCTTAAGGTGAGTCCACTGAGGGTCACTTGTCTGTATCCGTCGATGGTACGACAAAAGTGAATGTATCTGGATGGGATAGATTGAGGCTTCATGTTTCCTGCCTAATTTTTGACCCTGTGAGTGCTGAACGTCTACAGGTATCCTTGTCATCCTAAATTCCCTTCCAAGTGTCTGCTTGCCCCCATCCCCCGTACAGTCATTCCTTGATATAGTGGAGGAGGACCTCTTCAAGAAACACATGCCTGGGTAAGCGGTGATTGCCCATGATGGTTGTCAACTGTAATACCCCTATTCGTAATCACTTCTGGATTACCTTCAAATCTGGGATTTTCAGATCCCCCCCTATTCGTCCGTCTTCTTTATACCCTCCACTAGCACCTGCATTTCTGTTGAAACATATCTCTGAATTCCAACCCCCCTCCCACATCTACGCTCCCCCTCCCTGCAGTGTGTCCTATCTGCGCATTGACGGGTCGGTGGAGCCATCGCGCCGTTTTGATCTGGTCAAGGCCTTCAACTCAGACCCAACGATCGATGTGCTGCTCCTCACAACCCATGGTATGTTCTGTTTCTGGTTTTACGCTAGTAATTTTTGGAAGTAGCGAGGCATGTTTCTGATGTCAAGTCCACCAGGAGCATTGATCTGTTACTCTCTTGCATCCGTTCCTTTCTTTTTATTCTCGCCCAATAGCAGCATGTGGAGGATGCTATTGAAATGTGTCACATGATAACAAAACAGTCATACCCTTCTTGGCAAACAGTTGTCATTCCCCCCTTTCTCACTCCACCCTCACGTGCTGTTCTCTCCCCCCTCTCCCTCTTTACTCTCCACCAAATCCCTCATCATGCGCTTCTTTCCTCTGCTCTAATTCATTTGTCGTTTCCTCCCCTTACAGTCGGTGGCTTGGGCCTGAACCTAACAGCAGCGGACACAGTGGTGTTCTTGGAGCATGACTGGAACCCAATGCGGGATCTGCAGGTATGCGATGGTAACCGCCTTGCTATCACAAATCTGATCAGAGTAGATGTTGGAAACAAGCAACTCATTTGTTAAATGAGATGATGGCGTCACCTGCAGCAGACACAGTTGTGTAAACACATTGGACTTATTTCATTACGTTTTTTCCACATATGGTGGTGACGATGCATGCACCCTCGATATGCAAGAACATGTGGCCTGTGTTCACAATCATCATTCTCTTCCTTTCTCTGCCCCCTCTTCCCCTTACTCTTTCCCTTCCCTCCAGGCTATGGATCGAGCCCATCGCCTGGGGCAGAGGCGGACGGTGAACGTGCACAGAGTGATAATGGCGGGCACGCTGGAGGAGAAGGTCATGGGGCTGCAGCGCTTCAAGCTCTCCATAGCCAACGCGGTGGTCAATGCTGACAACGCCAGTCTCAAATCGATGGACACATCGCAGCTCTTAGACCTCTTTAACGCTGGCCCTCCTGCTGCCAGTGCTGGTGCTAAGGTAAGTGTCATTGATAGCATTGGCCTGGTAGGTGTCTTTGTGGTGGTGCATCATGGTCGTTGGGTTAGGCACAGTGTCTGAAAGTTTTTGGCTTGCTGCACAGTGCTGCTCTTTGCTCTTTACTGACATGTCAAAACAAGTAATGTGCTGAATATCACGTTCCCACCTTGCCCTTCCTGTGACCGTGTTCTTGGCCCAGCAGAAACCAGCAGACTCATCTTCAGATGCAGCTGTGGCAGCAGCTGGAGGAGGGAAGGGACTGAAAGCTGTGCTTACTGGCTTGGAAGATCTATGGGACGAGTCGCAGTACGCAGAGGAGTACAACCTGGATAACTTCCTGAAACGCATTTAGGTAGTGTAGAACTTACTGACTGTTGAGAGTGTCACAGTAATAATAGCGTGTTCCTACACCTCGTATCAGAAACACCTCGTATCAGCTTCTCGTGGTGAAATACGTTACAATACGTTCGACTGCGTTTGAATTCGTTTCAGTGCGGTTCGACGCGAATCTGATACGAGGTTACCTGATACGAGGCCGTAGGAACACGTTCTAAGTAAATCTTGGGCACAATGTCCAGTAGATATGGATATTATAATTTTTACACACACGAAGTGTTTTTCAAAATTACGTATTTCGAAAGCGCAGCTGCTTGTAACGCATGTTTTGGCATCGTCGAAGCGCGCTAAACGCCCTTCTCCAACTACAAATCGTGGGTTGGAGCTCATTTCCCTCCACCCACGTCTCTCGTTTTCCAACGGCTCATGCAACTTCATTTTCTCGAGCTCACTTCTAGTTTTACCGTTCAAGCTGGCGAGGACTCGCTCATTACCTAGAGGCGTTTCTCCTTCAACTTTATTAGCCGACATCCTTAACCAAAACCGCTCAACGATGGCTGCGACGCCGACGCTTAACCGTGCTAACAACATCGTCGCCAACGACCCGATAATTTCCGACAACGACCGTAATGCCCGTGAAACGACGGGCGAGCGTCGCAACAAGCGCCGGGCAGACAGCGAAACATCCGCCCCGACCGCCGTGGACGTGCTGTTGGGCAGGCTCGAAGTCAACAAAAACGCCGAGCAGCACCCCCAGCACCCTTCGGCGCCAGTGGCACCTGTGGCGCCAGTGGCGCCTGTGGCGCCAGTGGCGAACGTGGCGACACACGCCGCGGACGCGGAGCACGCGCCAGCGGCACACGCCTCCGGCCGGTCGTCGCGTCAGCGCCAGAGGCGCCGTACGGCTGCCTCGTCTGACGCGACGGCTGACCAGGCCTTGACCCAGGCGTTGACCCCGGACCAAGTCAAGGCCCTCCTGTCCCTGTTACAGCAGCACCCCGCTAGCGCGATCGCCGCCGAAACTACACAACCTGCTGCATCTGCATCGGCTAAAAACGACATTGCAAAAAAGGAAAAAGGAGCAAAAGGACCATCAACGCGCCGCCACGACAAGGAGGCCGTTACCAGCGCTCCTGAAGCTGCAACAGTCAACAACGACTCCGACGACTCAGACGACGACGCCGGTGAGGCTCCGAACAACGCAACAAATTTTCCCCCCATGGAAAATCTCCCTCCCCTCCCTTGCACTAACCCCACTTTTTCGGCGGCAAACTTCATTGACCCGATTGTGCGAGCGAAAGTGGAGCCCCTGGAGGACCTGAGGGCCTACCTGAAGCACGCGGAGTACAAACTGCAGCGCGGCGACGCGGCGGGCGGACTTGAAATGGTCGCGAGCGCCCTCGACTACATTTCGGAGCGCTACGACATGCTTCAAGTCGAGGACGCCACCGACGATCGCGTCGCCAAGCGGTTCAAGATGTACCAGCAGAAGAGCCTCCTTACCTCCCACCCGTTCAAGCAAGCCGTCGCCGACGTGGCAGCGATAGATCGCGCGGAGGGTGCGCACGCTCGATCCCACCGCGGCGGAGGTCGCGGGCCCATGGCGTTCAACCCCAAGCGCGGCCCGCCTATGGGGAGCTTCCACGGCTTCCGTGGGACATGCTTCCGCTGCGGCCAGCCGGGGCATGTGGCAAGTGGCTGCCCGCGGAATGGCAATGGTGGCCAAGGACCCGCACCCGTGGTGTAGGGATGGTCCTTGAGCGTTTGCGCCTTAGCGCGCGTGGCACGGTGCACGTCAAGTGTGTTGACCGTGGGCAACCCAAAGGGGTTTGCGGTGGCTATGAGCCAAGCCCTAGTTAGGGGTGATGATTAGGCTATAGGCCTAGGTGGCAGGAGAGGGACTAGAAAGCCCTTTGGTCCCATAATTTGGCCCGTGCGGTGCGGGGCGGATGCATGCTAGGAAGCATGGCTATGTGTGGCCCGTTTCTTATAAGGGCTTTATTTTTAAAGAAGTACTTTCTGATCTTGGCTTTGGATGACAAAAAAAAAAAAAAAAAAACCAGAGAGCGACAAAATGGCAAGCACCCACACGAACCCGAGCAAACGGCCCCACCATTCGTTGGCATTGGTAGCCTTTATATTGGCCACGAGCCAAAAAGGCATGTCATGGATAAAGGGAAAGCAAGAGCAAATGAAAAGAGTGAACGAGAGCGAGATAGAGAGAGAGAAAGAAAGAGAGAGAGAGAGAGAGAGAGAGAGAGAGAGAGAGAGAGAGAGAGAGAGAGGGAGAGAGAGAGAGAGAGAGAAAGAGAGAGGGAGAGAGGGAGAGAGAGAGAGAGAGGGGAGAGAGAGGCGAACCGCGTCACACATGGGTGACAAACGATGATTACGACTTGTTGATGTGTCTACGCACGCGTTATCGCATGCACATTCCTGAGACACGATGGCTTGCATTCTAACACCTCTGCGCCATTGTCACTCGGCAAACATGCAGAGATAACACGACACGAGACGCTAGGCGACGGAGATCCGTACGAGTTCGCCGTCACTGACAAATCTGTCACGCAAATGCGCGGGCGGCTTCGCGCAACCCTTGCATGGTGGAGCTCGTGGTGCCCCAGCAGCCTCATCCTCTCCGTCATCGCTAACGGTTACTGGCTGCCATGGAGCCAATACCCACCACAACCGTTTCACGAGCGCAACCACCTCGGGGCGCACACGCATGCTGCGTTCACGCGCACTGCCATTCGCGAACTTACCGAGACCGGCGCGGCGGTGGTCACCCCAGCAGCGGAGCTCACATGCATAAGCCCACTCAACGTGGTTGAGCAACGAGAAAAATGCAGGCTAATCCTCGACCTCAGAAAAGTGAACGCGCACCTGACCATCCCTAAATTCAAATACGAAGGCCTAAGCCGCGTGGCCGACCTGGCACGCATGGGAGATTGGATGTTCTCCATCGACCTCAAATCGGGATACCACCATATCGACATACACAACTCTTGCTGGAAATTCTTGGGCTTCGAATTTGAAGGGCGCACGTACGCCTTCCGTTCACTACCCTTTGGCCTCGCCACGGCACCATTTGTCTTCACGCAGCTCATCAAACAACTAACCAGGCGCTGGCGTGAACAAGGCGTTCGAGTGATACCCTATGTGGACGACATCCTGTTCTTATGCACGTCCAAGGCCCACGCACAAGCAACATGCCAGCAGATAATTTCGGACCTCAAGATGGCGGGCTTGGTGATTAACGCGAAAAAGTCGCAGCTGCTGCCATCCCAACATCTGCGATTCTTGGGCGTCGAGTTGGACACAAAATCTGGTCAATTCTCAATTGGCACCGATCGACGGGCATCACTTCACGCACACATTCGGAACCTACTGGACGCAAGCAAAGCGCGCCGACAGGTTCCAGTCCGCCACCTGGCCAGAATCACCGGCACACTCGCGTCGATGGCCGTCGCACTCGGCGCCACGACGCGTGCATTCAGCCACGCCATGCTACAAGCAATTAACGACGCGCCATCCTGGGGAAGCAGCTTGAGCATTTCCCCCCCCGTTGCTGAAGAGTTGCAGTTCTGGCTTGAAGAGTTCGACAAATTTAATGGCGCACCATTCCACGTTCGGAATAGTTATGACGCGGTAATTCACGTGGACGCCAGCTCTCATAGTTGGGGCGCCACCCTTCTCACCTTCCCTGGTGAACTCGAAGAGGCAAGCGCAGCCATGCCAGAAACATTGCGAATGACGTCCAGCACTCGGAGGGAAATTGAAGGCGTCCTTTGGGCCCTTCAAACGTACGCGAACAAGGTTCAGCAAAAACACGTGCTCGTGAGGGTGGACAACCAAGGGGTCTTTTTCATCCTCTGCAAAGGCAGCTCTCGCACCCCCGACCTCACCACCGCTTGCAAGGACATCATCCGCACGTGCATGGAGCTCGGCACTCGATTAATTGTTGAATGGATCCCGCGCGAGCTAAACTCCCATGCAGATGAGCTGTCCAAAATGATTGACCACGACGATTACTCCTTGAAACAACCATGGTTCCGCATCCTCAATCGTCGCTGGGGTCCCCACTCAATCGACCTTTTCGCAAGCCCAAACAACTCGCAGCTGCCACGATTCTGCTCAAAGATACCACACCCGGAGGCCACTGCAATCGACGCATTCTCGATTTCATGGTCGACCGAGAATGGCTTCGCGTTCCCGCCACCCCAGTTAATCCCAGCAGTCATCCACCACGCACAACGCACCCACGCCTCACTCACCCTCGTCGTCCCACATTGGCCAGGGGCAACCTGGTGGCCGCTCCTACAACCCTCCCCACCTAGCTGGGCCCCGCATATCCAAGCACAAATTCCCCTGACGCACGGCAGCCAATGTTTAGCAGTAGGCTCGCACCGCACCGCTTTCTCAGGCACAGGATTGCCTCATAGTACAATCGTCGCATTACGAGTGGTCTTCAACTAACCCATCTCGTCCTCCTTCGCGCAGACGTACTGCCAAAGCTACAAGTACAGCTTCTAAAGATGCTCTCACAGTCTCGTGCTGACTCAACGATCCAAACGTACGAGCCATACTGGGTCAAGTTTCGAGCCTTCTGTGCAAAGGTGGACCTCCCATTCCTCCCCGCGGCAGACATGACCCTCGCACTATACCTGGTGTACGCCATCAAATGCAAGGCCACCCTATCCATGGTACAACTCACCTGCTCAGCCGTGAGCTTCGCCCACCGCATGACTGGGAGCGCATGCCCAACGGCAGGACCATTCACCACTCAAGTACGCGACTTTGCGAAACGACACTGTCCTCGCCCCACGAGAGTGAAGGAGCCAGTCTCGCTGCAACAAGTCCGTGACATGTCGGCAAGATACCTGCGATCTGACAACCCCGGCGAATTCCAGAAGGGGCTCATCCCCATTCTCATGTACTCCGGATTCCTGCGATACTCAGACCTCGTCGCCATCGAGTGGCAAGACATCCAGTTTGACGACGAGGTCATGTGGATCCTAATTCCGTACTCCAAGACGGACCAAGCTGGAAAAGGCACATGGATACCTATCGCCGCAACACACGATCCGTTCTGCCCTGTCCGCGGCACTCAACGACTCATTCGACTCGCCGGATATGATCAGCAATCAAGGGGGCCGCTGATTCGCACCTTCGGTCATGGTTCCACCCAAGGTGGCCAATCAAGGCCACCGTCGTATCCGACATCCGAAACTAGTGCAAAGAGGCCTTTGGGAAGATCGGACTTGGAGAACAACAGCTAGGCACTCATTCCTTTCGCAAGGGTGCAGCCACTGCCGCGGCAAACACCGGCGTGCCAGACAGAATCTTCAAACGGCTGGGCCGATGGCGTAGTGACGCAGCCAAGGAAATGTACGTCACGCCAAATGCCGAACATCTCATCAACGCCTCCCGCCAGTTGCAGGACCTGAATCATGCCCCGTCCTCAGCACAGCACGCAGAGGCACTCATCCGTCATCGGAAGCCCCGGCTACCCATGTCTCAAGAACCCCAGTAGAAATGAGAACGATGCCAAATGATAAGTAAGAGAAAGCAAGCTTTCTAAATATTATAAATTTTAAACACACGAAGTGTTTTTCAAAATTACGTATTTCGAAAGCGCAGCTGCTTGTAACGCATGTTTTGGCATCGTCGAAGCGCGCTAAACGCCCTTCTCCAACTACAAATCGTGGGTTGGAGCTCATTTCCCTCCACCCACGTCTCTCGTTTTCCAACGGCTCATGCAACTCTCCCACCCCCCGCCCCAACACTGACGGGCATCATCGACGCTGCTTGAACGAGAAGATCGATAGCTTGTAGCATGATAGACATCAAGTAGCATGATGAATCGCTAGTACAATGATTGATACGCAGTATAGTAACATGTACTAGCACTTCTGTTTCCTAGCTCGAGGTGCATGTTGTAATTTGCCAGTTGAAATGAGAACGATGCCAAATGATAAGTAAGAGAAAGCAAGCTTTCTAAATGCATTCTAACATTGATGCCATCATGGATGCATGCCTACAAGACATTGATTAAAGTGGAACAACGCATCATGCTCGCATGTGGGGCGTACAAATGTGTCCGAGTGAATCCATGTTGCAGTGGAGTCAAGGATGTTGGAATATGGTATTGAAACTAACCTTCTTGTTGGCCTAATATGAAATTATTCGTGCTGTAAGTGCAATTTCAGGGTTTCCGTAACTGTGTCGAGTGTTTCGTGGCTTACCACCAGCCTACTATATCGGGCGAACCATTCTGCCTCTCCAATCTTTCCCCAAGCCGTTCCGCTCTGCCTGCGCCCGTCCCATTCGGGAGCTGCACACTATTCGGCCTTCCTCCCGTCGCCTTTCCCCCTGCGCTGCACGCCCTGAAAGCCTTCTCCCTGCTCTTCAGTCTCCCCTTTCCCTACTCAGCCTCCTTTTCCCTCCCCCCTTCCGCTAATTCCACACTTAGTCTCGGAGCGCCCTCAGGGCTCACGTCAGCATGAAGACGATCCTAGCGTCCGAGACGATGGACATTCCTAAGGACGTGAAGCTGGAGATTAAGGCGAAGAAGGTCCGCGTAACTGGGCCACGTGGCAAGCTGTTTAGGGACTTCCGTCACCTGAACCTCGATTTCCAAATCGTCGAGGACGGGGCGAAGCTTAAGGTCGATGCGTGGTTCGGCACGCGCAAGACGATGGCGTCGATTAGAACGGCCATCAGCCACGTGCAGAATCTGATCAAGGGCGTGACGGTGGGCTTCAAGTACAAGATGCGCCTCGTGTACGCTCATTTCCCCATCAACTCGAGCATCAGCGGCTCCGCCGACAGCATCGAGATCCGAAACTTCCTGGGCGAGAAGAAGGTGAGCCACGGGGCGCTTTCAGGCGGGGGGAAACGTGAGCCGCAGAGAGCGTTGTGCAGTTGGCGGGAAAAGGAGCTGAATGGATTTTGTCGAAACGGCTGAAAAAGGAGGCCGCGTTCCACCGGCACGCGCTTCCCCCTATTTCCCCATCTCCCACCTTCTCACTTGCATGCCTGCAGAGCCCCGTTCCTAGTAGCGATGCCTCTGTTGCTCTATTGCGTGCTTTTGCGGAGCCGTTTTCTGTTGAGCTTGGTTTGGAAAGAGAGACCTAGTTCGATCAGTGCGGGAGAGGAAGCTTGTGACGGGATGCTGCCGCATTGTTGGCAGCGGGTTCTTCTCGGAACAGGACTCGCAGTCGTCAGTCGTATCGTTTATATACCATTCGAGGTTTCAATTGTGCCCTTCCCCGCCAGCTCGCCGAGAGAAAATCATCAGTGCCCTACCCCGTCACCTTAGATAGACGCATCAGTGGCGGGCGGTTCCGATCCTCGTCTTTTGGGGCACCGCGCCATGCAGCTGATGAATGGGGCGAAGCATTCTGACTCGCGCACAGGCACTTTAAGCATCGGTTTCCGAAGAACTTCTTTTCTTCTAGTTTTTTAAAAGGCGGCAGGCAGTTGCTGCTCTCTCTTGGTCGGGCGGCGATTGGCGGTTTGGGCGGACGTTAAGCTGTAGCTAGGTGGCAAGGTCAGGTCATATGCGCCGCGCCTGAAGCGGGTATGATGCTGCTTGCTTTTGTAAAGCCGCGCGCCGATGGAGAGTGTGACTGCGAGAGTATGACTGCGATCGACGCAGCAGTGGGGCATGCGGGGTGCATTGCAACGGCGGCCGACGAAGAAAGACGTAGCCCTAGCAAATCTAGCTTTAGCGGACGAAGGTGCGCTCGATTTTCTGCGTGACGTGCCTGGGAGACGAATGCGGAGCGGAATGGATGTCCGACGGTGGGCCTGGGTAAGGCGAGAAAGATCAGGCTTGTGAGAGGGCAGGCTTAGGAACACGCAGGTATTTGGGCTGGATTGAGGGGCTGCCAGGCGAGAGAACGTCAATGTTTGGAAGTTTAGCAGTAGGTGAGGACTTCACTCGGGCCAGTGCAGTTTGTAGTGACGCGGCTTGTAGCGAGGAGCCTGTAGTGCGTTGGGAGTGGAACAGTGCTTAGCGCCGATCGGCTATGTTGGCAGGCACAGTATAAGCTGGCGGTTGAAGACGCGGAGCTGCATGCTGCTGTGGATGAATTCCACGTGCGCAGCGGTGAGGCGATGGTGCAGCTGCATGCCGCCATGCATCCTCACAGGCTCCGCAGGGTCGCAACCCCGATCTTCCCACATTAGTGTTGATAATTCGTCTCGTGGATGTGCGCTGCCTAGTCTCAGGTTGAGGCGCTTTTTGGGCCAAGGTGAAGGACCCTACGGGATTCGGTGTCCCAACAGCTCCTTCAAACCCTCTGCGTTCGCCTTCCTCCCCCTCCCCTTCCCCTCCCCTCCCCCCCCCTCCCCTCCCCTCCCCCTCCCTCTCCCCCTCACCCTCGCCTCCACCTTCACCTTTCCCGTCACTCGCACAATCTCCGGAGGGGCGCAAGGTGCAAACGATGCGCGCCAGGTGCTCTAAGCGGCGATGCTGTAGGGAGTGGCTGTCGCCTGCTGTTGGGTGCGCGCTTGTGCTGACGTTTCTCTTATCCCCTCACCCCTCTTGTTCTTACCGTCACTTTTTCCCCCGTCCCCCCTCTACTCCCCCGTCCCCCGTCCCCCATACCTCTCCCCCCGGGTGCGCGCGCAGGTGCGCAAGGTGGCGATGCTGGAGGGCGTGACGATAACGCGGTCGGAGAAGGTGAAGGACGAGCTCATCCTCGAGGGCAACGACATCGAGCTCGTCTCACGCTCCGCCGCGCTCATCAACCAGGTCAGCCCTCCCCCTCCCCGCGCGCATCAACCTGGTCAGCCCTCCGCCGCGCGCATCAACCAGGCCAGCCCTCCCCGTCTCCCCGCGCGCATCAACCAGGCCAGCCCTCCCCGTCTCCCCGCGCTCATCAACCAGGTCAGCCCTCCTCCGCGCGCATCAACCAGGTTAGCCCTCCCCGTCGCTCCGTTGTGTCGCGCGCATCGACCATGCCAGCCCCGCGGTGCCGCATTCTCCCTGGTCAACCAGCACCATCCCTCGTCCCTCCCGCACCATCTCATGGGGCGCGGCCATGCAACAGGGAAGGGCGTGCAGAACGCCTTTGCCTTTCTACATCATGCGCTTGCAACTCGCTCCTCCTGTCGCCGCTATCAGCGGTTAGGGTTTCATGCACTGCCATCCACCTCTCACCACCCCATCCGTCGAATGCACGGGAGGGTTCCAGATTGCTGAATTGCCACGACTCAGAGCGGACTGTCACCCATACCTGGCTTCGAACCATCACCAGTCCCACATAAGCACGCCGCGTTTTGTTTTAAAATGGGTAGAGCCTTCGTGGTTCCATCGCTCTGCGGATGCTCCCTGTTCTCGAGTCTTGCCATTGGGATCTCCCATTAGTCAGGGCGTGGAAGTAGGGGACCCTGTCAGGATTCCTGGTTTGGTGAATCTGTACCACTTGATGCCGTCCTTTCTCAGTGGTGCGCACATGAACAACCAAGGGCAGCTGAGAGCTCTTGTAGAAAATCGATTTGCAGATTCACTGACCGCTTGCTGCCACTTGCTCTCCTCTCCCCTCAGGTGTGGCATGTGGGAAACAATGACTTCCAATTGGTAGTCCTGAGTCTGAGAGGTCAACCCATTTGAGCTGTTGTGTTGTTGGTGCCGTGCTCCCCCCGGGTGCAGGTTTGCCATGTGAAGAAGAAGGACATTCGGAAGTTCCTGGATGGCATCTATGTGAGCGAGAAGGGCAACGTTGTGGAGGAGGCCTGAAGTCACCGCTGCCTTTGAAATGGCTCTGCTGTGCTGCATGGCCAGTGCTCTCCCTCGTGGGTGCTTGTTTTGTTTCACCCGATCCCTTGATGCAATGCAATGGAAGCCTTGGTCGCCAATGTTCCAGTGTTCACTGTATGAAAGCTTAAGTATGAAGTGCCAATATACAGGGGTTGGGTCGGTGCATTCATGCCACGCTAATTACCTAGAGAACAGGTGGTTGACTTGACAGTTGACACAGGTGCAGTCATGGCAGGCACCTGTTGTCAACCCACGGCAATCAAGTTGACAAGTTACCGGTATTAGAGCGTGTTCCTACACCTTGTATCAGCTCCGCGTGGTGAAATACGTTTCAGTACGTTCGACTGTGTTAGAATGCGTTTCAGTGCGGTTCGACACGAATCTGTTACGAGGTTACCTGATACGAGGCCGTAGGAACACGCTCTTATACGGTATATTGAGAAAGCTTGCTTTCTGTTCTTGCAAAGGCAACTGGCTTCATTACAATTGGGCAACTGGCTTCATTACAATTGCAGTAATACAACATTCTCGTCCAACTATGGATCATACAAATATTGGTACAACTAGGGCGGGTGGGTGGGGAATGAAACTGCAAAGTTCTGAAATGAAGTCGTGGGTGGAGGCCGAATGACCTCCAACTCTCGTTATGTACTCGGCGAATTGTAATTCGCCGTTGCTTTGCTTCGTTACAGGCAGCTGCGCTTTCACAATACGCATTTTTAGAAAGTGTTACACACTTTCGAAAAAAATCATATTGAGAAAGCTTGCTTTCTGTTCTTGCAAAGGCAACTGGCTTCATTACAATTGGGTCTTATGAGACATGTGCAGCTGGAGCATTGAAAACGTGGTGAGTGTAGTTGCGGTTGATGACATTGACGAAATGCCGGGAGGGGCGGCGTTGGTGAGTCGTGGGCTCCATGTCGATGGCGTCCGAGGTGCTGTACGCGAAGGTTGCTCGTGCTGTTGATGTGGATGTCCCTCGTTGTTGGTGCACCAGGATAGTGGTTGAAACTGGTGGTTCCCGTACTCTACACGCCCAATGTACGGTACAACTTTTATCTTGGGATTTAGCTTCCATGTGCTCTGATTTACCCTACACTTCCAGTCGTTTGATGTTCCGGCCGGAATAACTACAACGTGGGTGGATGTTAAGGTTTGAAGTGGTAGTCGGGTGAGTGTGGTATTCGTCATGTTGGTTGGGTAGGAACGGTCACAAAATTGCCGCCTTTTACTCCCAAACGCCCATTCAGGTGACAGCATGCAAGTCGTTTCAACGTGTGCTTTTGCTTCCTTGTCGGGCGTTATCGAACAAAGTGGGATAAGAATGATGGCGAAAACCGATCCCATTGTCATTGCCCTTATTTGGAAAAACACGGAATGTGGTTTAAAAGATTTTAAAACCAACTTGAGGTGCACTTGAACAGTTGCTTCCCGAGATTTCAGTGGGGCTCCAACCAGCCTTTATTGGTCACATTAAAAGTAAATGGGGTACATCAAAAACCAAGGATGATCCAGTCATACAAGCGAGCACATTGTTCGATTTTTTTGCCCATTTTACGGTAAGGCCAACGTGTGGACCTTCGAGTCTCTTCCCCCCTGGGGGACGGCTCTCAGGCCACGCTAGGACCCTCGGTCCCCTTCCCTCCCCTGGGGGACGGCTCTCAGGCCACACGGGGACCCTCGGTCCCCTTCCCCCCCTGGGGGACGGCTCTCAGGCCACACGGGGACCCTCGGTCCCCTTGCCCCCCTGGGGGACGGCTCTCAGGCCACACGGGGACCCTCGGTCCCCATCCCCCCTTGGGGGACGGCTCTCAGGCCACACGGGGACCCTCGGTCCCCTTCCCCCCCTGGGGGACGGCTCTCAGGCCACACGGGGACCCTCGGTCCCCTTCCCCCCCTGGGGGACGGCTCTCAGGCCACACGGGGACCCTCGGTCCCCTCCCCCCCCGGGGGGACGGCTCTCAGGCCACACGGGGACCCTCGGTCCCCTTCCCCCCCTGGGGGACGGCTCTCAGGCCGTGCAAGTGAGTATTAGCTTAGAAGGTAGTTTCTAGCGACAAGGAAACGGTCGAGGTGGTTGGACGAGAATTGGAGTGAAACTGCAAAGTTCTGAAATGAAGTCGTGGGTGGAGGCCGAATGGCCTCCAACTCTCGTTATGTACTCGGCGAATTGTAATTCGCCGTTGCTTTGCTTCGTTACAGGCAACTGCGTTTTCACAATACGCATTTTTAGAAAGTGTTACACACTTTCGAAAAAAATCATGTCTATACCACAATATCCAGTATCCACACTCCTCAGTATGCCACAGCTGGTTACCATTACCGGCACTTAATGTATCGACAGAGTAAAATACCGTAGGTCGCAAGAGAGCTTATATCTGAAGACGTGGCTGGTGCATTTAGAAAGCTTGCTTTCTTATACTGATCATTTGGCATCGTTCTCATTTCAACTAGCAAATTACAACATGCACCTTGAGCTAGACAATATAGATGCTAGTACATGACCTGGCTGAGACTACCTACGATAGCATTGTGCTAGCTACCCCTCATTATGCGTGCGTACTACCAATCATAGGACTAGCTGTCTGTCCTCCTGTTCCAGCGGCGTCACGGATGTCCTCGGTGTCGGGGTGGGGGGTGGGAGAGTTGCATGAGCCGTTGGAAAATGAGAGACGTGGGTGGAGGGAAATGAGTTCCAACCCACGATTTGTAGTTGGAGAAGGGCGTTTAGCGCGCTTCGACGATGCCAAATCTGCGTTACAGGTGCTGCGATCAGAAGTTGATCGTGGCCTAGGATCTACTCAGGAAGGTTCGCACGCAGAGAAGTGATGTTGGTGGGCCCTTGACCTCAATAGCAGAGTGAATGTAAATGCTTGAGATTAATAAAACATGCAAGTACAGCAAATATAAATATGAGTACAGCGGAGATGAAACGACCTAGCTAGCCATGTACTCTAAGGGGTACATTCCCTTATTCAAATACATTCCCAACCGTGCGGCGCGAACAGTTACGAAACTGTTCCCGCCGAAGCCATCCTGCCTGCAGCTGCCTGATGGTGTCTGCTCCGACGGTTCAGATGCGTCCCAACTGTTTGACACTTCGAGTCGTTTCCAACCGTCTGACGCTTCGCGTTCATTCGCGATACTGCGTGCTTCTCTTTGCTGCGGTGAGGAGTGCACAGTAATATTCAAGTATTACTATTCATAACACCCCCCTTCACTCCTGGCCGCAGCTCGACTTGACCTGCTTGACCACGCCGCTGAGTTCGGAGCAGTGCTGATACTGCTGGCGTGGCAGTCGCTTCGTAAGGAAGTCTGCTGCCATGTCACTGGTCGGGCAGTAGGTCAAGTTGACCTTGCCCTTGTCTACCTCATCCTTCACGAAGAAGTACCGCAACGGAATGTGCTTGGTCCGGTTGACGAAACCAGGTTTGTTCATGATGCGAATCGCGCTCTGGTTATCGCAGTGAAGGCGAAATGTGGGCGAAGCTGGAATTTTTGCCTCTTGCAGGAGTTCCTGCAAGTAGAGGCCTTCGCGAACTGCTGCGGTTGCTGCGACGAATTCCGCTTCGGCTGACGACAGGGCAACCAGCTCCTGCTTCTGCGAGTTCCAGGAGATTGGTTCCGTTGGCTCGAGTCGGAACAGGAAGCCAGTCCTGGACCGTCGATTATCGGGGTCTGCTGCGTGATCGGCGTCCACATAGCCGATGAGGTTGAAGGATGGAGTTGGTGCAGCTGAGTAGCACAGCCCAATCTTGGGCGTTGAAACAAAGAATTGAAGGGAGCGCTGCAGATCCAGAAGATTCTCAGCCGTTGGTTTGCGTGAGTACTGCGCCAGCTGACTGGCGATGTACGAGAGGTCTGGCCTGCAGGTGACAGAGGCGAAGAGGAGGCATCCCAACTTCTGCTGGTAAGTCTGAATCCCAGCAGGGGATAGGGGTTTGTTGTCGGATTTGTGGTTCGGTCCGAGAGTTCGGTAGGGAGTTGAGAGGTGCAGGTGAAATGTTGAACCGCTTCCCTAACTCCTCTGCGTACTTAGCTGCTGAGAGATGAATGGCCTCAGTCGCGTAGGAGATGTTGAGGCCTAGAAACTGCTTCACCTCGTAGTTGCACGTGATGTCGACGCGCCCTGCCAAGGCCTTCTCGAACTGCTCGAGAAGCTCGTTGTTTGAGCCTGTGTAAAGCAGGTTGTCGACGTACAGCGTGAGGCGAATGTATTTGTCAGAATGTTATTATCTAGCCTGTAGTGGGGTGCTCTATAGCGAGTACAACCCTGTTAGGGTTTGCTATATGTATCCCAACTGCTGCTAGTGAAACCCCTCTTCTTTCTTCTAAACCTTTACATGGTATCAGAGCAGGTCGATCCCCTTGGATCGATCCTGTGGGTGGGCTTACCACCTCGTTGCTTCCGCTGCAACTACTACTGCTACTCTCTGTGGCGTGCGGCAGTTTTTCTTCCCGCCGTGCGCCCCGAGGCGCGCGGCGGTTTTATGCCCGCCGTGCGCCCCGAGGCGCGCGGCGGTTTTATGCCCGCCGTGCGCCCCGAGGCGCGCGGCGGTTTTCTGCCCGCCGTGCGCCCCGAGGCGCGCGGCGGTTCTCTGCCCGCCGTGCTCCCCGAGGCGTGCGGCGGGTTTCTGCCCCGTCACGCCGCGCGTCGCTCTCGGGAGGCGCTGCAACGGGCGACGGGGACCCGCGTGTCGCCCCCTCCCGTCGCCGCTCCTATCGGCCCCGTCGCCGCCACCAGCGGCCCCGACGTCGCCGCCAGCGGCCCCGTCGCCGCCCTTGCACGGCCCCGGCCTCGCCCCGGCCATTTCCCGTCGCCCGTCGAGGTGACCCTTGGGGGCCGCGTGGGGGGCGGGCGCCGCCCCTTCTGCCGCCTGTTTTGGCGCCCTGGGAGGCCGCGCATCGGTCCCCCCCCCCCCCCCCCCCTCTCCCCCCCGTAACCTCCCTACCCGCCATCCCGCCCTGCCCTGTGTTAG